TACATTTATCTAAAATTTTATTGAATGAAGTGTCGGAGATAGCATCAAATTTTAGAATAAGTTTTAATTTGTTCGAATTGGTCATCCTTGGCACGAATTATGACCTGCAAACGGCGAATGAAACCGTTACACGCTGCCCGAATGTTGCTCTGCGGTAGTTTGGTCCATTCCTGGCGAAGCGCTTGCTTGTGGTGGTCGACACTTTCGTATTTTTTTTAGCGCTAACCTTGCTTTCAAAAATACTGTAGACACAATAGTCCAATGGATTGGTATCCACAGATTTTGGTGCCCATTGTAAGCTGGAAATGAAGCGAGTAACCATTCTTGGGTGGCGCGTGCTGAGTGTGATGGTGCTGAGTCCAAGGCTTTAATACACACTCTAGAATATTTTTTGTTCTTTTCGGCAGATCACCACTTTTGGCCAAGCGAAGCAACTCTTTAGCTCTATTGAGTCTATTTTCTTTCTGCTGCGGTGTAAGTTCTTGCACTTTTTGGAATTTCAATGGCTTTACCCCGAGCTCATTTTTCAATATTTGCCGAATGGAATATTACGATATGTTCAGCTCACGAGCCATTTTTCGGCCACTGCGACTCGGGTTTCGATCAAGTCGCTTCTTTACTTTTCGAACCATTTCTGCTGATGTTGCTGTTTTCTTCCATCCAGTGGCATCATAATAAATGACAAAAATTATCGCGAAAATATTCTGGAGGGTGTATTAAAGCCTTGGGCACGCAAACATTTTGGCCGCAGACCTTGGACATTCCAACGGGACTGAGCACCATCGAACTCAGCACGCGCCACCCAAGAATGGTTACAAAATAAGGTTCCTCGCTTCATTTCCAGAGCACAATTGCCACCAAAATCGACGAATACCAATCCTTTGGACTATTGTGCCTGGAGTATTTTGGAAAGAAAGGTTGGCACTAAAAAATACCAAAGTATCGATCACCTCAAGCAAGCGCTTCGCCGGGAATGGGCCAAAATACCGCAGAGCAAAATTCGGGCAGCGTGTGACGGTTCCATTAGCCGTTTGATGGCCATAATTCGTGGCAAGGGTGACCAATTCGAACAAATCTAAACTTATTCTAATTTTTTTTTTGCTTTAATTCAATAAAATTAAAAAAAATGTGAATGTATGACCTTTGACCTTGTTGCAATTTTTTTGTCTCACCCTCTATGGGAGCTATATCTAAATTTTAACCGATTATTTCCAATTTCAATAGGTTTCGTCCTTGGACCAAACAAATGTTTTGTGCCAATTTTTATATTGATCGGGTAATAAATGCGACATGTACTTTGGTTATGGAAATACGTGAACAGATGAACGAACAAACGGACGGACATGCATATATCGACTCAGAATGTGATTCCATGCAGATCATCAAAAGGAAATATGGGTCTAAATCGCTTCCTTCTCCATGTTACCAACAAATGCACAAAGACATAATACCCCTACCACTATGTGAAATCTAGTGCTTATCTCGCCTCTTATAAGAGTCATATTTATTCAAATTTTAACCCGTTGTGGGAGAGGTATCAGAATGAATGGTCCGACATATTCCATCTTCACTCAAGTACTTGTTTTGTACACATATTGGGATGTGCGATATTTGAAGGAAATCGGATGCTCATTTCGCATTTTATGAGAGTCATAATTATTCAAAATTTTGAACCTTGTCGGGAAGGTACCAAAACAAGTGATCCGATATATCATTACACCAGATCTTGTGTTAATAAGGGTATTGGAATGTGTGAGACTTGAAGACATTCGGACAAATACTTCACATTTTATAAGATTTTCAAACTTTTGTCCCTTTGTGGGGGAGGTACTCGATGGAGTGGGTCGATATTATCCATTTTCGCACCTGACCTACAACTAATACAAATATTAGGATTTTTGCAAAGTTTTCGCAAAATCGAATAATCCTTTCACTTTCTATGAGTTAAATTTTCTTTTCTTTTTAAATTTTGATCTTTTGTGAGAGTGGCCAGAGTGCCCGTCTCCAAACTCGATCTATGTTAGACTATAATACTAAATTTCACCAAGTTTGGATCAAATTGGATATTCGAGAGTTAAGGTAAGCACCAGCCAGGCAGACAAGTTGGGTTTTTGGAAATTTGTACTAAAATATACTAAAAATTTAAAACATTTTATTGAACAAACGGTATGAGTCAGAATGGAAATTAGGAATGAGAATCATTGGTAGAGTGCAGGATAGATGTACCAAAGGGTTTTTGGAAATTCGAGCTTTAATGATACCATTTGTGAACGGATAGAACTAAATACTTGAAATTTGGTATGAGAATCAAGGTTGGAAAGTATGTTTCATAAAAGATTGTGGTTTTGGAAATGTGTAATAAGTGTGCGAACCGTACTAAATGGTATTAAACTTGGTATAATCAGGATTAGGGTGAACGGTTGAAGCTGCAACTTTGCAATTTTGTATAGGGGTTCCTGTCCGTGGTAAATTTGTGATTCTATAAAAATATTCTACCTGGGTGAATAGATTGGCAAAAAAATAAAATTGTCCATGCAAATAGTGCAAAATATATCTAAATAGCATTTTTCCCGGAGTTAAAAAAAAAATATTTAAAAAATTAATTGTTAAATATTTATACCCTACAACACTATGTGTTGGGGGTATTATAAGTTTGATTGGGCCAAAAATCATGTAACACCTCGAAATATTGGTTTCCCACATAGGAAAGTATATATGGATCTTCCTATCTCGCCGAGCTGAGTCGATCTAGCTATGTATGTCCGTCCGTCCGTCCGTCTGTCCGTCTGTCCGTCTGTCCATGTTAATTTGTAATCACTCTACAGGTCGAAGTTATGGCCCGATCTTCACGAAATTTAGAATGGAGGTCGGGCTAGGGTCAGAATATAACCCTATTTCTTTTGGAGATGATCGCATAATATTTAGGGGTTGAAATGGACCAAAAACTGAAAAAATTCCTGATTTTGCAGTTGCTCTACAGGTCGCAATTATAGACCAATCAAAGCGGAAGTTAGCATGGGGCTAGAGCTTAGGATTGGGCAGAAGCCTTCCAATTTTGATGGTCATCGGGTAATATTTAGTGGGTGGAAAAGGCTGTGACATTTGTGTTAAATAAAATCAAATTTTCCATTAAACCGCGAATGTTTTTAATCCCGGGGAAATCACAAATCCTGACCATTACGTAGATGCCGATAGTAAATATTTCGGATATGTATATATATACAAAGGAAGGGGGATGATAGCTAAAATGCTTATATCTCAATAATGGCTGGACCGATTTTGACAAATTTTGTCAATCCAGAATGCTCTCATGGCACAAAAGGATAAAATCTAAAAAGAAATGCATAAAAAGACGCCTGTAATGATGTTAACATACATTTTTAGTATTTTGTGACATATTTTTATTTTTTCATATTTTTTATCGCATGCGATTTTTTCAATTTGACTTTTAATATTGAAGTGTACATTTTGTAGTATTTTTTCACCTTACAACACAGGTTGGGGATATTGTATACATGTTGCAATTATCGTCCGATCCTCACAAAAAGGGTAGGTTTAGGTCAGAATGGCTAGGCCTATTGTTTTCAAAGATGGGGGTTGAAATTGACCAACAATGTTCCTTATTTTGTAGCCGTTATAATACAAATAGAAACCAAAGGATACAAAACCTCGCATGAAGTTAGAGTTTAGGACTCTGAGTAGAATGGACCACTACTTTGTGTAAAAAATACCAGCATTACTTACAGGCGATATCCGATGATAGCCAAATATCGTAGACTAGAAAATTATATAGCTAAGTCTAAATTTGGAGATTCAGAGGGGACTCTTGCTTTTGGAGGTGGTTCAAATGAACCAAAAACAGAAAAAAATTCCTGATACACAATTGAAGCCATTCGACATGCCTGGAAAGAGCGATAAGGACAGGGAAGAATTCTAGCATTTTTGCACAACAACTAACAACACGACATATTTCGTAAATATTGGGCAAATGTCCTTGTTCAAAATGCTAAGGGTAATATCTGTGCAGTGCTCCGTGACATAGTTTCAAAAGCGAAATCTTCCAAAATGGATTAGGACTTAAGAGGGCTTCTAGCATATCGTTGTGTTGTGGGGTATCACATGGTCGGCCCCGCACGACTATAGCCTTTGCTTACTTGTTTTGTAATATTTTGGACCCAAAGTCAGACCTATATTGGTGTGCAATGCAAATTTTAGAAAATTAATTTCCTTTGTCTTTACCATTTTTTTTTTCAAACAACCAACTCTTCCTAACTTTGAAAAATTGACAAAATGATTAGATATCAGATCATTCAATATATTTCAAAAAACTAAAAACAAAAGTTCTCCGTGAAAATGGAAAAATATTCATGTTCACAAAAGTGACATGTTTGGGAAAATAAAAACTTTATTTGACAAGTCTGTAACGAGTTTTGCACAAAAGTTTGTTCTTCCCCAAAACTACATCCACTCTCAATGTATTTCCCCATGAACTGGTTAAAAATGCCTCAATTCAATTAGAAAGAAAAGAAAAGTTTTTTTTACGCTTTAACTTTATTGCCTGCCAGCCAAAGAATGTGGCTTGGAAGCGTTTTTCATGTATACACATGACTCGCGCTCTTCCGTCTTTCGTGGCAAACGAAAACTGCAGGCAAATCGCCTCAAGTTTGGTGCATAAAGTGCGCGTCCATTTCTCAATAGCTGGAGGGGATGGCGAAAAAGGAAAAAAAAAACAAATAGACAACAGGAAAAGCAACAAAACTGAACCACCGGTGTAAAACCTATACCTCTGGTCTACCCGAATGCAGATAAATGACCCAAGGCAAGCCAATAAATGACAGCTGCATAAAAAACAAGTTTTGTTTTCCTTAAATGCCAGCTCTTGAATTTCATTGCAAAAAATGTAAAAAAAAACAACGAAATAAAGGATGGATCACATTCTTGTCGTCGTTGGTGTTATTCTTGTTGTTTCCTTTTTAATTTTCATTCTCAAAGAGACTTACCTGAAACTGACAATTTCAGCGATGTTTCATTAATGGACCGGCCTTTTTTTCATTCTGGCTCAAACACTGTTTTCGCCCATTCTGGTATTCTGAATATTGAACATACATGGAAAATTCTGTACACTTTTTATTCCTTATCCGTTGACTTGGTGTATGGGTGCTACTTCATTCATTCCAGTAGGGAGGTATGTCTGCAAGAAAATAAGAAAAAAAATAATAGAAAAACCAATGAATACATGAAAGGCGATATGAAAGGAGGCAAATGATAACAAATACCATATTTCTGAGTACAAGCATAGGTATCGATTTTTATTGAATTCATGAAATATTGACTTTTTAAAATGAATCTTAATAATAGAGGGTCACAAGTAGCAAATAACAAGAACATGGTCAATGAACTGCGTCACAAGTTCAGTCATGAAATAGTGATTGAAGTGTAGTTAATATAAAATGTTGTTCCATTGATATGTCTATTAAGGAAATTTCGAAATATTCAGGGAATTATTTAAGATTTTAAGACATTGTTGGGGAGGTACTGGAAAGAGTAACCCAATATTAGTCAAATCATTCTTGTACCTCCCCCACAAACATTTTGAATGAAAAAATGCATATATATTTGTTATAAAATGAATCGACTACCATATAAAGTCCAATTTGTTCCGTCATATTATTTTTATCAGACAGATGCTAAATGGCAAGAACCACATATTGGCGGTATCAAACTCTATAAAATATCTGTAACTCTATTAGTAATATTGGCTTATTAAAAAGGCCACCCCTCATTTACAAAGATTATATAAGCAACCAGTTGTAAACAGAGAGAGATAGAGAGAGACAGCGACAGCTTAATATATAGTGGGAGACTCCCAGATCTGTTAGTTCGTATAGCCAAGCTAGCCTGTCCTTCTATCGCCAAGCTAGCCTGTCCTTAATAAAAAAAGTCTTACTGGTCTCCAGCTCGTCTACAGGAGGCATAGACTCTTTGATACTTCAGCTCGTCTGCAGGTGGAGTTATACTTCTTGAACGTGAAGTTTATCCGCAGTGAAAATAACACTCTTAACCTCGCCTATACAGAGATAGACTCCCTGAGCCTGCAGCTCATTTGTGGGAAGAGAAAGAACTATTAGCTAGGCTATAAGCAAATAAACACGCTAAACAGAGGAGGAAAATCTCTCTGAGCCTTCAGGTCGTCTGCTACAGATAGACGTCTCATTGATCCATTACCTCGTGCATATAGATATTAGGAAATACCCGCTGCTTCTTCAGCGAAAAAACACCTTAAAATTTTAAATTAATTACCATTTAGTACTTTTCGAAAACTCATAGTACGCATACCCTTCATCCACCTTCGTCTCTCAACTATGGACACCAACAGTGACAGGATTCCACCTCTATTCCTTCACCAAATACCAAATTAAGTACCATTTAGTACTTTTCGTACAATTATACTATACATTTCCAAAATCACCCATATATCTTAATTTCAGATACCAGCAGAGATCTTAATATTAAATTTGAAGATTCCAGCCCTTTCCCATTGCCCAATACAAAATTTAGTACCAATTGGTACTTCAAAACGCATTTCCAAAACCACTCCCAAATACCAACCTCAGATCCCAACGGATATCTAAATATAGAATTTCAGATTTTTATATTTATCACTTCACTGAATACCAAATATTATAATGTTCAGTACTTTTCGAAATATTATAGATCACATTTTCAAAACAATCTCCATATCTCAATCTCAGATACCAACAGTGCCCTTAATATCCAATTTGAGGATTCTAGATCTATCCTTTCACAAAATACCAAACAGACACCAACAGTGGCATATATATCGCAATACCAAATTTAGTAATATTCAGTATTTTTCGTACAATTATGGTACACATTACCAAAATCACTTCCATATCTCAATTTCAGATACCAACAGAGATCTCAATAACAAATAAGAGGATTCCAGCATTATCCCTTCACTAAATACCAATTATAGTACCATTAAGTACATTTCGAACTAATATAGGACAAAATTTCAAAATTCTAGCTTTAACCGTTTCGTCTGTGCGTTGAATCTACATCAGTCACTTATTTTTAATATACATACAGAAAGACTACCATCAGAGAGATAATCGGACCTGAATCGAACAATTTTTTGCAAGAAGAGAACATGCTTATCGAAAACCCCTATTGTTAAGTTTCATCTAATTTGATTGGAAATTGTAGCCAAAATACCGAAAATCTGAAGGTACCGTAGACACATATTCCAATTCGCCATCATATATACAAAAATTTGTGCCCCATTTCAAACCTCTAAATTAAATAATGTGAATCCAGTCGTGATTAACGCTAAAATTTTGTTCGCTGATCAAGAATATATATTTGTTTTGGGGCTCCGATAAATATCTCGAATTTTACCGATTTTTTTTTAAATTTGGAATTTAAATGTCGTAATGGAAACCTAGTCTTATGGCAGAAAATTGCTTATACAGGACCCTTCAGCCTATAGCCTTTGCTTACTTGTATATGTAAAAAAGTTGTTCAGGCGAACTTATGCTACCGGATGACTCCTTGAGTCTCCTATCTATGGCAAAAATACAACGCAAGCAATACACTGCAAGGACCTGCGAAGGGACTTCTTATTCGTAGGGTTTCTATTAATGAAAGTTTACCCCAATGCCTTCCAAACCTTAATTCTCATGTCAACAACAAGAAAATCATCCAAGTTAATTGTTAATAAACAATTTCCATAAAGTGTTTGTATTTAAATAACATAGTTCTAATTGCAAGACTATGTACTCGGGTCCCCTTCCTTGTTGAATGTACGTGAGTGTGTGTGTGGCCACATATTACACTTACTGTTGTGGTAGTGGTAGTTGGCACACATTTTCCCCTTGTTTATTCACATTCAAGGTTTTCTCCACATCTCTTGACCAAACAATTATAAGTAAAGAAATCTCTAAAGTGCATGAAATGAAAATGTTGCCAGTTTTGTGGGGTGTGTGTGTGTGTGTGCTGTGTGACGAGAGGGTGACTTATGTAATATTTATATAAAATGTAGCACATTTTTTAAGAGTCACAAAAAATTATTTTCTTGACAGGATTATTTTAAAACTAAGGCATCAATTGATAAGAAATTCTTTTTCGTCATTATGCCCGTAAAATGATTTCCTCGACGAATTATTTTTAGCATACCTGTTAGCTTCTTTTGTATCTCAGCGCTCAACATGTGTGTTAGTGTGTGAGCGTTACTTGAGAATAGCTCTTAAAATACTAATTTAAATTTACACGTATATACGTATATACATTCATACATACATACATGTAAACCTACATTCATACTTAGATACGTATGCATGTATCTGTTGCATACACCTACAACGGAATTTGAGCGAAAAAAAATAATTTGTTTACTTTCCTTTCAAAAGCAAACAATGCACAGAGAAGCAAACAAAGATAATCATTTTTCAAGGTGGGTATTAAAATAATTTCCCATGCTTAGGATGTTTTTGTAGAGATTATCACATTTAAAGGTGAGAAAGCATTACAACATACACAGACACACACACACACACACACACCGACTAGAAATTCTTTGCCATTATTAAACGATGTTTACTTTTGCATTACTCTTCGTCTTTGTTTAGCAGAATGGAGGATATAAAAACGGTATAAATCGTCACGAGGGAGCAATTTTGTACTTAGCATCTTCATACCGGCAATGTGGAGAAACATTCGTCGATTTATGTTATTTTAGGTCTAAGAAAAAATATAAATGTTTCTTTAAGGAGAATTTTACATTATATTTTAAATTGTTTACAATTTAGGAATAAATGTTTAAATTCAATTATCATGTAGGTCAAAATTAATCATACCCTCCAACATTATGTATTGGGGGTATTATAAGTTGAATTGGGCCAAAAAAAAAAAAAAAATAGTAACGAAAGTCTTAAAGTCAGGCGGGGTCGACTTTATGATACCCTACGCCACTTTGCTAATTTAGTAGAGCTCGAAAAGTTTTTGTGGGAGAATTCAATCATACACGCTATGATTATAATTATAATTCAAAGTTCAAAAGACTAAATATGCCGAAGCATTTGTATCTTTTAAATGTATTGCCCATTTGATATATATGGGAGCCATATCCTAATCTGAACCGATCTTGATAAAATTTGGCATGGATATTTCTGAGCTGTATTTCATATATTTCCATGAATATCGCTGTTACGGAGTGCATATTGAGGCTGTGGGTAACAAATATAACAAATCGGACGAACAATGTATATGGGAGCTATAGCTATATCTGAACCGATCTTCACCAAATTTGAAATACTACTTTATAATGCCCTACACCAATTTGCTAATTTAGTAGAGCTCCGCATAACAATTAAAAGTTTTTATGGGAGAATTCAATCCTACACGCTATGATTATAATTTAAAGTTCAATGGATTAAAGATGCCGAAGCATTTTTATCTTTTAAATTCGGACCTCTATTGCCATTTGGTGCACAATTAATTTGAAATCAGATTAAGATATATATGGGAGCTATATCCAAATCTGAACCGATCTGGATAAAATTTACCAAAGATATCTGTGAACTGTATTTGATATATTTCCCTGAATGTCGCTGTTACGGAGTGCATATTACGGCTGTGGGTAACAAATACAACAAATCGGATGAGCAATATATATGGGAGCTATAGCTATATCTGAACTGATCTTCACCAAATTTGGCATACTAGCTTCTAGACTCAATTCGGTGCCAAATTCTATGCCATTTGGACAAATATTAAAAGTTTGGTGCACAATTAAAGGTAAATTGGACGAAGTTATATATGGGAGATATATCCGAATGCGTACCGATCTTGATAAAATTTAGCAAATGTACTTCTGAGCTGTATTTGATATATTTTCCGAAATATTGTTGTTGCATAGTGCATATTACGGCGGCGGTGGACAAAAATAACAAATCGGATGAAACATATATATATGGGAGCTATAGCTATATCTGAACTGATTTCGATCAAATTTGGCATACTTATTTTCAGGTCCAATTTGATCGTACGTTCAAAATCCATGCTATTCGGGCTGATATTACACGTTTGGTGCACAATAAACTGCAAATCGGACGAAGATATATATGGGAGCTATAACTAAATATTGACCGATTATCTCCAATTTCAATAGGG